TGTTAAATCCATGCCCACATGGGATTTTCTGGTTATTTTTTAAATTTGAGATTTGATGGTGAATTATGGATTTTCTGGAAATTCTGCATGGTTTTGTCTTTGATATAGTCATGATTACTGACGCCCGCTAGTGAGAGTTTGTAAACGCTAACACATGTCGACATGTATTTCTGTAGAACCGGTTCACCCTGCCAATGGGGTTAAACATTGGTCTGTAGAACCGGTCCATATTTTTACTTACTGAGATATTTTATCTCACCTCGTTTTTCTTGTCCACCATTTCAGGTAGTAATACTCGACACATAGGGAGGGGGAAGTGACGAGCTAGACGATTAGGCATTATATTGGATTTAGATCTCTTGGAGTTAGGCCGCTAGTCTCACATGGTTGACTCAAATAACCATTTTTGTGTACAGAGTTTCCTTGGTTATAGCTATGACCGTTTATAAACTTTTGTATATCTGGAATTGTAAATTTTTGGAAATGAAAAGTTAGATTTTACTCGAGTTTTAGATTTGAAATATCCAATTCGGAAATTAAGAACTCAGTAAGTTTCGAGCTTTGTGCATTTGTGGGACTCTCTCACGAGTGCATGGCGTTTGTTATGCCCCGGATTTGGGTTCTGGGGCGTGACAGGTTTTTAATACTAGTTTAAATATATTTGATTAGATAAAAAGCTAAACACTAATTTGTTGAAAATATAATTATAAAGTACACTAATGTCATAAATAATAAAATAATTAATCAATAAGGCAAACCAAGACATGTAAAGCCAAGCAATTGCCGCTCAAGAGGGTAAAGTGTTTTAAGAGTAGAGTTTTTGTCTGTATAAAGGACATTTAGAACTGCATTATTTTTCTTTTTTGTTTTTAGATAGAGAGCTACACTATTTTTTAATTAAGTTGTATTGTACAATTATAGAATAATACTAAAATAAGAAAATTATAGCTCATATGATTAATATTATTATACACCTATTAAAAATATCATACCATAAAAATAAGATGAGTGCACCAAAAAAAAGAAAAATTTTAAATACAATTTGTATACAATTTGTTAATTATATTTTTATTTTACAAAAAATTCAAAAAATATATTTACCAAAAAAATAAAAAATAAAAATATTATATTATTTAATTAAATTATTTTATAATTAGACAGTTTGATCGGTTTGAAAGTAAAATTAATTACAAACTAAATCAATTATATTAGTTTTAAAATTTTCTAATTTAGATCAACCTAAAATTGATGTCAGTTTAAATTGGATTTTAATCAAATTAGATTAATCTTGGTCAAATTAATCGGTTTAAATTAAATATAAATAGCCCTAAAAGGGACCATGGAAAGAGTAGGAAATAAGATTTACATAAAAAACCCTTAAAAAGAGAAAAAGAGCAAGAACATAAGATTTATGTGGAAAACCCTTAAAAAGAGAAAAGCTATGGAGCCGAGAGAATAATTTCACTGTAGCGAAAGTCTGAATACAATGGTATCATGCCTTCTACAAAGTCTTACGGATTGATATTTATAGTGATGTGTCTCCTAATCGTAACGAGGTTTGGAGGCAATTCTTCTTTAAAAAGAATCGGCTCCTCGCCAACCGGGCCTGTGGCCCAATGGTTGGCCCTTAAGCCTTAGGGCTTGGGTGAAGCGGGGGTCAAGGTTTCGAGCTTTGCCACCGCCGTGAGCTCCACCAACTTGCGACCTAATGGTCACACGCCTTTTCTGAGGGGGTGGATTGTTCACCATTCTGGAAAGTCCCAGTTGCTAACAACTAACTTTACTAACTTTCTAACCATTACCCTTGTCAAAAAAAAAAAAAAAATTGGCTCCTCTTCCAATTCAAAAGCCCGGAGGATCAGCTCACGTCCCTGTTGGGCTTGAAGGCTTTATTGGTGTATGTTGAGTATTCATCCCAACAAAGCCTGTTCCCCATACACTTATTTAAGAGCTATAAAAGAAGAAATCGCAGAGAAACATCCACACAACTCAACAGCGAATTATATATCAACATATCATATATACAAGCAATATTCAAACTAATTAAACCACCACTTATGCTGCTAAGAGCTTACATAATCAACTCCCTTGATGATACACAAGTTATTCAGGTTACAACCTGTCTGAAACGAGAAGCTGCCTTAATATCTGACAAATAGTAAAAATGAAATCATATGATCAACTACATCACTTATCAATAGAGTCGTCCTTTTAACAATCACTTTCATTGGACTCATTTGCTCCATGGAACCATGCATGTCATCAGTACTGCAACCTATCACAAAATCAGCTAGTTAGCTCCGAGATAAATACTCTCTCTACATGATTGTTTTGGACAAAAATTTGAATCTGAAGTACAATCTATCTTGAGTGGACTATACTACTTATAACTATTGACTGAGGGATCACCACAACATTTTCACATACACATATATACATATAAGGTTAGTGTAGTGCAGATCATATTTAATTTATTTTTTATTTTTTTTTGAGAACATGTCCACAAACTCATATTCTAATTAATATTTTAAAAAGCCAAACATTAGATTAAAAGTTCTATTGTTATAGATATTGCATGTAAATTTTCATATTGACATAACATTTATGACTTATTGATTAAAGAAACTCTATTTAAGAATATACATTTAATAGTGCTAAATTTTGGACAATCAATAAATTGGTTAGACCTTCTAGATTAATTTGAAAATTGACATTACATGATTTATATGAATATAACTTTTAATTTAATAGTTAGTTTCTAAAAATATTAATTAAAATATAATATTTTTTCATTTAGAGAATATCCTACAAAACATTTTCTCATATACACAAAGTCACATATTTTGTAGTTTGGATTGCAAAATATAGACCCTTAGGAGCCGCCGATATCTAAGAGCCCTTACTTCATCTAAGAGTCCTTGTTTTATAGTCCACTATAGTCCAAATTGCACATCTTTGACACACAAATATCGGCTAAACATCAGCTAGTAATTTAGAAGGACAAATTTCTCTAGTTAAGCTTTTGTGCTTTTAAATTTAGTAAGCTTTATAACATTTAAGTTTTTTTTATTAATGTTTTATATGAATTCATGGAAAATGATATAGTTAAATACCACATGCATTGTAAGTATATAACATGTTATATTGCAATATAATTGACTCTTTTCACTTAGGGATCCACTATTAATATTGTATATATTCCTTTATTTAATGATATATCACACTTATTTAATGTCATGTAATGATTGTATAGCATTTTCACAAATTTATGGTTGAGCATATTTGTAAAATCTTTAGTCAAATATCTGTTCTATGATCAGTACAACTAAATAAAAAAAAAAACTCAACCTTAAGAATTAAATCCACTAATAATATTGTATAATTGGTTATGTTGTTATATAACTAGCCCTTTTCACTAAAGAATCCACTACTAATACTATATATATTTACTTATTTAATGATACATCACACTCATTTAATGTCATGTAATAATTGTATAGCATTTTCTCAAATTTATGGCTTTAGCATATTTGCAAAATCTTTAGTCAAATATCTGTACTATGATAAGTACAACTAAATCACAAAAACTCAATTTACGGATTAGATCCACTAATAATATTGTATAATTGGTTATGCTGTTAAGTAATTGGCTTTTTTCACTAAGGAATACACTAGTAATATTATATATATTTATTTATTTAATGACATATTATGCTTATTTAATATCATGTAATGATTAATAGCATTTTCACAAATTTATGGTTTTAGCATATTTGCAAAATCTTTAATCAAATATTTGTTCTATGATGAGTGCAGCTAAATCACATAAGCTCAATTTTAAGGATTAGATTTACTTAATAAGTAAGTGTTAGTTTATAAATAAAGTTTGAGTTCAAATCTTAGGATGAGGACCCAAAAAAATTAATTTTTTTAAATATATCAAGTTTTTATGTGTGTGGGGTGCACTCTTTTGATTATTAAAAAAAAATATTTCAAGGTATTAAAAAAATGGTCCAAAGACACCATGATCATTCAAATTCAAAAAAAAAAAAAAAAATCGGCTCCTCTTCCAATTCAAAAGCCCGGAGGATCAGCTCACGTCCCTGTTGGGCTTGAAGGCTTTATTGGTGTA